AATATGTTTTTAATTGTGTACCAGTTTAACGTTGAATATTATTTATGATGTTAACTTTATACACAAGTGCCAAAATACTATAAGGAATGGAAGGAGTTAGTTTTTTACTTGTGTACACAATTTTTATCATCTTAGTTGTTGTAACTAATTATAAGATATATGTAAGCAATTTTTAGTTACCCTATTCATAGGCATGCATTTTTTTAACATCCTAAGGTAACCTTTGGGTATTCTTAACCTATTCACTGCAACTTGGACGTATATTTCCCAGTGCACTGGGAAATGTGTGTCCTAGCTGCAGTGAATGGGTTAAAAATGCCACCGCCATGGTTTTCATAAAGATGTTGCTTTATGTTACGATTGTTTGCATGCTTTTCCTTTACCACCTGCAGTTAAGATCAGCATCTTTTAACATTTTTAGTACATTAAAAAAACCTTTTAATTCTTTTCTGGAAATGTCTTTACAAATGTAGAACAAAGAATTCAGTCCTATGTGGAGTAAAGATATGGTTAACAGGAAATCAACTACATTTAGACCTCCAGAACCTAGTGCCTTGGAAATAGCTGCAGAACAGGTGGGTTACATTTTAACAAGGCACTAAAACTAGGATTACAACTAATACATTTGTGTATTTGCTATTTATTTATCTTATTATTATTATAACCTATTCATCCATGGGATACCCAAGAGTAGATTTGTGATGTGGAAAGTGTAAACAAATCGAACAGTAAGTGACAAAAATAACTTGTTTGGCATCAAAACATTACTTAGAATTTGTTATGGGATTTTGGTTATTATTTACATCATTATAATACTGTTATTGTGTTAAACGTTACAGTTTTTATTTTACATATAAAAATCAATTTCACTTGTACTCATTCATAAGAGTTGTCTAGAACATGAAGTTTTAAATTAATATTTCTGTAATTGATAAAAGATATTCAGATACTACAGTATTTACCAAGTATTTTTGTATCACTGCTGTATGTCTGGTAGATGAATGTGCTTTGCATACATTCAGTATGCAAAGCATTGCATTTTAATCATAAAAAAATAAGATTTAAGATAAATAAAGTGAAAAACCTAAAATCATAAATGATGAAGTTAATATCAGAAAATGCAGATTGTTTCTTAGACCCTTTCCACATGGGTCAAAGGCCATGTCATCTCATTTGTTGACTTGCATTCAAAATTTTATTGAACTACTATTTCATGAATTTATGGCAATAAGTTTGGTATAAACTGTAGATTATAATCCAAATTTTAGTATTATACATTACTCAATTTCTTAGTTTAAAAGTAAATATTAAAAAACGCTTAAACATCGATTTTTGTGTGTCACATGGTATGTTAAATGCAGCACTGGTTCAAATTATGTTTTTGATGTCAAAATACTAAGTCTGTAGTTTCTTACAAATTAGGAACTCAAATTACTGATATTGACAAGGTAGAATATAAAATAAGAACCTCTTATGATTTTCTATTTGGTAAGATATTGCTCATGTAATGAATCAAACACAGTGGCAACCAGCCCACCTCTTTCCAATTTTGGAAATG